ATTTTCGTCGTAGTAGCACTTTAAGTAACTCACCAAGTCCATAATGTGATCAGTAAATTGGTATCCATAGCCAAGTACACGATCTGTATATTTTTTTACGAGCTATGAAAGAAGTAAATGATTAAAGGGAGATCTCAATGAATAATGATGTTCCTGATACACTAGTTAGGACAGCTCCAGTGGTTTCCAACTGGTAGTTGTGAGCTGCTGCATGCTGAAATTATTTTGTTGTTGCTGTCCATCAAAAATAATCAGTTGGTACCTTTTATATCTTTGTCTGGCAGAAACAAAAAAACAATTTCTCAACAAGATGTTGAAATGCCTGAGTTTGTAGAATATTGAAAATTGCAGTAAAGTTGTTTAATTTATTAGTCTCATGGAATGACCCAGTAACATATCACTAATATACTGGTCGGTAATCAAGAAACTTACATCAACAATCTCATTTGAAGAGTCTTGGAGTTTAGATTGAGCATTTTCTGCTGTTTTCAAGGCATCATCTGCCTCAGTCTACACAGAAAGAAAACAGTTACAAACCAAATGTTTTGAATGGTCTCATTTTGATAAAATTTTAATTAAATTTATATTAGATCAATGGGATATACAATAATTGATAATGAAGATCATTGGTGATGGTGATGGTGATGGCGATGGCAATGGTAATGGTGATGAGGATGGTGGTGGTGATGATGATGATAGTGGCATTGGCGGTGGTGATGAAGATGATGGTGTTGTTGGTAAATGAAGAGGATGGCAGTAAACTAAGATGATTGTCAGCATGGTGATGATGATGACAATGTTGACAGCAATAATGATTGTGATGATAGTAATGATAATAATGGTAGTGTTTTTAGTGATGACGATAATGATGGCGGTGATGTTGTTTGTGACTGACAGTCTATTGTCAGTTATCTTTAAAAAACGAACAATCCATGGCAAACTTACCGCAAGATTTCCACCAATTTTCTTGAGTTCCACAACATTAACTTCCATTTCTTTCTGCAAAGAAAAGCATAGAGACAAATAAAGGGTTAAATGAGGGGTCCTCGTCTGTGAATATAGGAAATTCCAGATTTGGACAATGTTTTCTACAGCTTTACTGCAGCATTACTTCAGGAGTACCTCAAGCCAAAAAGGCAGATTAAGAAGTACAGCTGTAGAAGTGAGTACCCTCCTCAGAATCTAGAATCACTGAAACATTAACCTTTTCAACTTCCCTTTCATATTATTTTGCTTTGAATTTCCTTTGTTTCTGAGTAATTGGGATTCCACAGATATCCCCATCTAAACCCATGAATACTAGACTACTTCGACAATATGGTGGCCGTTTTGGATCACAATGCATTACAGAGTTGTCAATAAAATTTTTGGTAGGTGGTTTTGAAATTGAAATAGGCGGTAAACCGGAAATCACTGGAGCGTGTAATCAAGGCATACTTGTCACCAGTGTCACTCTTCTCACAAAAATTTAAGATGGCAGACAACAATCGTTGTAGTTTTGATTGCGTTGCAGTTTTCAAGTACAGCAACAAAGATTGAGTTTAAAAAATTTTTATTCAAACATTTTGCTAGTTTAAAAAACTCTAATCAAGATTTACGAATACATTGAGAATTGGCTGAGAAGGTGGCCCAATTAGCAAGAGTAGGCGGCGGAATTGGCCAGTTGCCGGCTTCTATTGATAACCCTGCATTATGGGGCAAATATAGAGTCAATGTTAGGCTTGATGATATATTTAAATTAATTTTATATTGCCTGACATTATTACAGCGAAAGCTGGCACATCGATCACCCTTACCAGATAAAAAAAGACCAAAACATGAAACTCTATAATATGATTTCTGCTATCTTTGTTTCATCTTAACCCCAAGACACCTCATAATGTCTTGCAATCCAAGATGGCCACTGTATCATCGAAGTAGTCCAATATTGAGTTATGCCACTATAAAAATCAATCTACTTCACATACTGCATTCTCTTCTAACAATCGACATTAATAATAACTTCAGCAATACTCTGATCTATACTTACAGACTTTGCTTCCATCGCTTGCACAACATTACTATCAAGATTTTTCAGGTCATTAGAAACATTCCTTGCTCGATAAGCCAAGTCCTGGGGAAATAGATAGGCTAATATGTTAAATTATGTTGTCAAAACAATGAATTTTAATAAAGAATTAAATGAAGCTATTTGGAAAAAAATGTATCAAATCTGTTTTTATTGTACGTGTTTATCATAATGTCTATGAGTATTTTTACACAAGTGAATAAAATAAATCTGGTACATTAGTCATTGGTCATTGGCCATTGGCTCATTAGTGGCAATTTACATCTTATGCTGCTACATTGACCTGCTGGTAAATACATCTCACACGCACACGCTCATTTGTCGATTTTTGCACTTGCAGAGATAAATAACATTGAAAAAAAAACTCTCTTCCGTTATTTATTCAGTAAAAATACTAAAACAATTATTCGCCTCAGGCTCAGTTAATATTGGGGAATATATACCTTGCCACTCAAACACTGGCTTCTTTGTAAAAATTCCACCATATTCACTTCCCCTTAGGCGAATAATTGTTAAATATAATATTATTGTATTGTATATTATACAAAATAATACTCTTCTTATCCCAGAACTATTGCAAATTGAAACCATTTAATTTTCATGGAAATTATCAAAACACTATTATTAAATTCATGGATGTTGCATCATCTCATATTCAATCATTTTAATTTATGTTTTTTGTGTGTGTTATAGTTCTAAATTGTTCCATTCTTATTCATTATATTATGCTGCTGTTGATTGTTAACAGTAAATTAACATGTGGGCAGGCTACCAAAGTAATGCAACAATAAATGTGTAGTTCCAGAAAATATCCATACCCGACCCATGGAGGAAATTGGAAGTTCCTGGGGGTAGGGGGGTCCTTTTACAAATTCCCTCTATGGGGGTTTGGATATTTTCTCGAACTACACAATATTTGATCAAGAGGGGAGGTAGTTCACTCACTTGAGCCTTTTGTTTGTTTGGGTTAGATGGATTCTTTGCAAGTTTGGTCATATTTTCAGCAAATGCATCAAGGTCCTTTGCAAATTCTGTCAAGTTTACTTGAGTAATACCTTGCCTTGTCTGTAAATATTCAAGGAAAGAAAAAATTATTATGATTTTATTAATAATTTTCTTTCAATTTTCTTTCAATTTTCTTTTAATAAACTTAATCATTACTAATTACAGTGCATAGTGGTAGTGAGTATGAGTGAAAGCAAGCCCACATCAGCACAAGCTGCCTAACGATCATCCTGCTCTAGCAAATAAAATATTATCTTTTACTCTAATGATCAATCATGGTTGACTTGTTGATCATTTTATCATTCGACCACTGTCAATCAAGTGGCAGTGCTCAGCTTTTAGAATGGCTACTCTGCAAGAGGTCTTTTGTTCATCAATAGGTAGACGATGGAGCTATTATTTGCAAATACCAAAGACGAACATTCCTTACTTAAGGTAATACATGAATTTGAAAGACACAATTTCAAACTTTTGACCTTCTCTTTTAGAGTAATTTTATTTGGCCTGTGAAACAAAGTTTTAAAAATAGTGATAACATGCAGTCAAAGTAAAGTAAAGAAAACAATGGAATTATTATAACCAATTTATTCTCCTCGTAACACAAAAGGAGATATTATAATAGGTTAACCCTTTTGAGAATATCTCCTAAGATTAAATATTGGAATTTAGAAGTTGATTTTTGAAGAGGGAGGAAAGCCAGAGAAACTGGAGAAAAACTCTTGAAGCACAGGACAGAACCAACAAACAACTCTGCTCACATACAATAACAAGCTGGGTAGCACTTGAACCCAGGTCGCTATGGTAAGAGGCCCACACCACCCTTACTTCTCACTATCATCTGCCACTATGTGCAGGTATTATGCTTACTTAATCATCCATCTCTCCATGGCAACTATATAGTTATGAATAACTTCTCAATAAAATTGAGAGATCTTACCTCATTAAAGAATGAATCAAAGTCAATTTTATCAACTCCTGATTCATTGAGTTTCTTAAGACTCTGCTTAGAATTGTTGGTCAATATGGTTTTATCAGAAAAGTTGACTTTCAGGTCATTAAACTTTTCATCGACTTTATCACCCAGAAGCTGTCAATGTAAAACGCATTAAAAAGTATTAAAGAAAAGTAGGAGTATATAACAAAATATCTCTCAGAAGTTGGAGTGTTTGTCCATGTTTCCCTTAAATCTTTGGGTCTATGACTAAATCTACCAGCAGCAACAAGAAAGCCAAGAAAAGAAATGTGAATATGTTTCTTTATGGGCTAAAAGTTTATAAACGAAATATCTAATCAAGAAACTTCTGGTTATTCTTTTCAAGAAAAGAAAGCAAATAAGAAGAATCTTTGATGCTAATTTTATTATAATAATGACTTTGTGACATTAATTTCTTAAAATTGAACAAAGTAAAGGACTTAAAAATTTATACAAAAGTAAATGATGCTGAGATGTTGACTCAGTTGGTCATTTTCAAGTCAAAGTAATATTATTCTAGATCTTCTTTTGACTTGATAATTGAATGAGTCAAAACGTGGAAACATCGTCTACTTTTTGACATATATTTCTGTTTTTTTTACTCTGTACAATTTTAAAAACTCAATGTCACAAAGTTTTATAATCAAAGAAAAAAACGATTGCAAAATTATATAAATTATATTATGGTAAAACAGTTAGTTTGAAAACCTTATAATGACATTAGACGTTAGATTTGAAAACAAGGTATTTTTTCGGGCAAGAATGTTACGCAAGCTATATGGAATATAGAACCTAAAGAACCTATAAAACTTCAAAAACTATGTTAACAAAGGAATACTTTGAAGCTTCTTTTAGTTGGGGAGCAGGATAATAACTTTTTGAAAAAACAAAGCCCATTTCAGACAAAACCTTTTCTTCAGGTTTTTAGAATTTGCCTTTGACTCTATGGTTTCTAATCACACTACCAGAAAATGCCTCGTCTTAATGTTTACGCCTGTGATATTTATAAAAAGTTCGCTCATTGGAGTTCTTTTTATACTTACTTTTCTAATGTTCAATTGGCTTGAGATGTTGTAAAATTGTTCTATTTTGAGTGCTTCATAAGCTGGTTTGTTTTCACGGCAGTTTCTATGTAAAAGACAAAATATTATTTTATTGAGAGCTAGTGAAAATTAAGGTATGAAAACATCACACATTTCTGACCTTCCCTTCCCTTGATAAAATATTCTAAAACTTTGTATAGAAAGGTTGTTCTGGTGACTATGTATCAGGTTGCATATTACAACATAATGTATTTCTGTGTGTCTGAGCCTCTCCCCTTCCCCTCTTCCCTTAACCAGAAATGCCTACAATGAAGAGTACCCCATTTGGTTCTAGTCCCCACCCCCAAACAGTAATGTTGCTATCCCTTTATTACTGTTTGGAGATAGGGAGCAGAACCCCCTCCCCATCCCCCCCCCCCCCCCCCCCCCCCCCTCCCCTTCTTCCCTTAACCAGAAACGCTTACGATGAAGGGTACCCTATTTGGTTCTAGTCCCCACCCCCTAAATTAAAACCAAGAATCAAGAAACAGTGTCCCCAAGCCATCCCAATCCAAACACTATATCTCCACTATTAACCCAATTTTATCCTGAAGACATCTGTACATCATTAATAATGTATTATTTGACTTACTTAAGGGCTTCTCCCAACTTGAAAGTACTGTTCTTTCCAAAGATATCGTCAAATGGTGACTTTCCATCCCAAAAGTTTTTATTATCAATGATCTGCAGGAAAAAATCGTAAATTAAGAGTTGTAAACACTTGCAACTCTGTTGCAAATCTACAACAATGTTAGACAGTTTTATTAGTAATGACACCACAAAAAAATTTGCTGGGCAGCCATACTTGGGCCTTCAATAAACAAGGTCAGTTAACACATACTAGTCCCAGACGTCTTGGCGAGTGAAATATAAGATGGCGGCTATGTTCAATTCGTGGCGTTTCATGTGGATTTTCACCTTGTTTATCGACAATATAATGCGACTTTTATTATTTCAAAAGTACTACAAATATTTTAAAACTATCAGGAAGTATTCTGTGGATAATTCATGCGCCCTTTGGGGCACACAGAGTTACATTTGTGCGCCATTTCTGATTTTTATGCGGGAATCCCGCAATGGCGTGGCCTGGTAAGAACACCCCTTTTCTTTTTTTTGAATTTTACAAGGTAAACCTTAAGGCTTAAGCTTGTGTGGCCATGTATCCTCACTACATTCTATAATATTCTATTATTACACACAATAGCCCACTTCCGAGATATGCTTCGCTTGTCATGCACAAAGGTTTCAGTATGAGGCTACGTGCTAAATACTCAGTCATTCGTGACAGGCGGTAAGAATAAATTTAATTAAGCACGTAGCCTCATACTGAAACTATTGTGCGTGACAAGCGAAGCATATCTCGGAAGTAGGCTATTCTCAGCTCACGTGTAGTTTTTTTTATGGAGGGTGAAAACTGAAGAACGTGGAGAAAAACCCTTAGGGGGAACCACACATCAAACAAACTTAACTTGTATACTAGCTTGGATGGGGCTCAAATGCAGGTCCCTTGCCACAAGCCTTGCATTGGCAAGAGGGCAACGGACAATCCCTTAGCAGCATACACCTCAGCAAAGACCACCCATGCTACCCACGAATGGCCCTATTCCACTGATATTTAGTTAACCTTTATTGAGACTACCTAAGCAACAATTGATATTACAAAAATTCAACTTACGTTAGCAAAGATTTTACCAGTTTGTATGGGCTCACAAACTGCTCCTTGCATGGGTGCTCCAATGATGAAACACAAGGTTGTCAATAACATCAAAAATGATGCAAAAATAAAACAGAAACCAGTTGCCCTGTAAAGAAATGTTGATTAATAAACCATTACAGCTGCAATCCTCAATATTCTGCAAACTCTGACATTTCAAGGGCTTGTTGTGAAATTGAATTTTTTTGCTGCTGTCATTCAAAACTATTCACTTGACACCTGTTATATTTAACTGGCAGCAGTGAAAAACCAAATTCCAATACCAAGTGTGCATTATATTGAGAATCGCAGTAATGTATTATATTTTTTTAATCTTTTTTTTCCTATTTTTCATCTTTCTTTTATTGTTGGAAGTTGAATTCCATGTTTTCAAAAAATCATATCTTCAATGGTTTGCGTGCAATCTTCACGAAACTCATCTATCTTACTAATATCTTTATGACAACTTTGAATATCATGAAAATGAAGAAACGTTTCTGAAAGTATCGTATTAGGGGTTAATAGGGGCACTTTAAGCCACAACACAATATTGGTTCACAATGTATACTGTACTTTCACCAACCTCAAATGACATTTATTTATGGTACTTACGCCATAAGGCAGTTGCCTCCCATATTAGATACTGTGCCTCTGTTGGTGGGTGTGGCTTCCTTATCAAAACCACAAATACCACACATCAATCCAAGGGCCATTAATACCACAATTAGCAACAGAAGACAAGTGAGACCGACGCCAGCATACCACCTATACATTGATACAACAAAAACTAAATTATTTGACTGGATGTGGTAGTGGTCCACTACTGGTAGTGCATGAGAAACGAGACAGGCCGAAACAGCTGTCCACCGTTTCTAGTTGAGCTGGCTCATTCCTTACGGGAATTGAAGGTATGAAAGGCCGATTGGCCCTCTTCTTTATTTGTTTCATACAAGGCCCTTAATTTACCTATTACATATGTTCTTATATGATGTGAAAGCCCATCCCACATGGCTTACCGCCTCATCTCTCATGTACTACTTTGTCGTGGGATTCTACCAGCTCACTAGATACAGCGTGCTGACAAGGCCCAATACAGGCCGAAACAGCTGTCCACGGTTGTGAAAGGCCCATTGGCCCTCATTTCTTCTTCAGTGGTTTCATAAAAGGCTCATGATTTACATATTATGCATGTTCTTAACTACTGGTAGATAAAGAGGTTGTATTGGAGACTACGTTTGATTAACAGCACACTGTTACACCATACTTTAACATAGAAGACATATTAGATTTAAAAGTGTATTTGTCTCTCACACAAGGGGTCTTGGCTTCAATTCCCAGAATTGCTATTGATATTGACAAAAAAATTTTTGACGCAGGATGTAAACTAATGATCAGCTATTACTGTGGACACCATTGTTTGCCCACTTTCAGCCATATGCAACACTCAAACTTTATCAATATCCCCAAACTACCTCTGTACTGATCTAAGTCAGGGCATGGCTTACTCACAGATTGAACCCTGAAACAACCTCTGGGCTGATCAAAGTCAGGGCAAAGCTAACTCACAGATGAAATTAAGATTTAGCTTGTTAGAATTTGTGGAAGAAGGAGAACTGGAGAACTTGGAGAAAACCCCTTAAATCATATTTTTATTTATTTTATTTTTATGTAGAGGCTTTCATCATGCTTGACTTACAAAGGAGAACAAAAACAAAAACAAAAACAAAAACAAAAAAAAAAACAACAACAACAAAAAACAAAAAAGCAACAAAATTAACAAGAATATAAAAGCTAACAAGTGTAATGAGGGACAGGCAAACGGACTCTAGGTTGTACAGTAAGTTTCTGAAGATTGCCTGATAGTTATAGATACCTAGGTCATTCCAAAGTTGTATAATTCGAATAGTCTCTAAATAAAAAAGTCCAGAAGTGTTAGGGGGGGGGGGGGGAGATTGAGATTTGACAAGCCACTTCTTGTGCGGCCGCAGTTGAAAGAGACATAATTGTTGAGAAGAGAAGAAGAGACCTAATATACTTTTCTCGCATGTGATGTAGAGTCCAGAAATTGAACCAGAGATCCAAGAGGCAAAACACGTGCATAACGCAGAGAGAGGCAAATGAATTATTACATACTGTATACATAGGGATCCAACATTTGATTAACTGTGCTTACCTATACTGGTCATATTTTTTTCCATAATCAACACCATCATTGATAGTGTTTTTCATTTTTCTTAGAGGCTCCATGATCGTCTAAAACGTAAATCAGAAATCATAATTCATAAACCTTGATTCAATGGGGATGAGTGCTTTATCAGATCACAATTATAGCATGTGCACACGTTTGTTTCTTGTAAAAGTCTTCATGATGGTCTAAAACTTAAATCATAAGACCAGGGACGGCGGAGCAGTTTTTTGATTGGGGGGGCTCAATAGTGACATTGCATGGCATGCATGGTGGGGGAGCTGAGTTTAGTGAAAATGTATTAAAATTTCACAAAAAGTGGGGGGGGGGCTAAAGCCCCCCAGCCCCCCCCGGTTCCGGTGCCCCTGAAGACTGTCATAAATCTTGCTTTCCGATTGGTTCGATGAGTGCACATATTATGTCCACATATTTGTTGTTTCTTTAATTATAGTAGACTGTAAAAAATGATTTCTGACGACAAACAAAAACAAGTAAATATCATTAAATATGAAATATTGTTTTGCTGTGCTATGCACTGTCAGTACAAATTAACACTTCCACAAGTTTTTGATTTCTTTTTGATATCTCTTTGATAACCTTGAATTGTGCTCTTTACTGCTAACCAATTACGTATCAGTGCATCACTTTGGTAACCAGTCAACTCACCCACAGACCAACTCGCCCACCCCAACTCGCCCACTTATAAAATCATCGATCATGAGTTCGCCAAAAGATTCCAAAAATCAATAAATGACTCATTACTAAATAGAAGGTTTACCGGTTTCATTGACGAGACGGTAACAACACACACGTTAATTGTCATGAACACTTGTCACACAACAGTAATCATTCGCTTGTAAAGTTTTGGAATTCTTCATGATATTCCTTCACTTTATTCACTAGGAGATTCATATAAATGAAGGAGAAAACATTTTTGCTTGGCTCAAGACTTTACGTTGCAAGTTACTATGGGGGCTAACTTATTGACTTCGTAAGTGATATCTGCGATATCACACACAATACTTGGTTCACTCAGTTGGATTAATTCACTTCTTCTGTGATATTTCTGTAATATTTCCGAAAGAAAATACTAAACATCTATAAAATATTTCATAACTGTATTGGATCGAATGTGTATGTATGTGGATTGAAAGTGTATATAGGTGGATTGAAAGTGTATATAGGTGGTCCGAAAAGACCTGGACCTGGTTCGAAAAGACTTTGGTTGAAAGAGACCGGTATTCATTTAAAGTTATCAAAGAGAAATCAAAAACTTGTGGAAGTGTCACTGCATTGTGCGTAACACAATAATTAAGACTTACCTTCTCTGACTGATCGTTCAGCTTGTCCAGTAACTCTTTGACCATATCTGTAGCATTATTAATCATGTTTTTGATTTCTATAGCATAATAACAAAGATGATTAGTTAGATACATGTAAAATAACGGTATTGCTAAAATAATTTACGAATAATACTCCAATCAACATTAATTTATGAGACTGATAACTATCTTTAATAAAATAATAATTGAAATCAGTTTCCAAGCAAATGTTTAAAATCACAGGCTGAAAAACTTGTTGGAAACATAAAAAACAAAAACCTTTAAGCTGAGTTTTACAAATAAATGAAACAATAAATGAAAAGTTATTTTTATATACAGAGTGTCTATGTACAACTATCAAATTTTCCCTTTTCCGAAGGGACAGAACTATAAATGAAATGGGAATAACTGAAATTTTTCATAAACATACAAACTCTGTGTCTGCGAGTTTCACGCAGCGTGCAGCTTGCAGACACAGAGTTTGCATGTTTATGAAAATTGCAGTTACAGTAGTGGCTCTTTTTTCACTAGATTTCAATTGAAATTTAAACTTTTAATTTTGCAGACAGAGGAAAACTGGAGAGCACAGAGACAAACCCTCGAAGCATAGGAAAGAACCAACAAGCAACTCTACTCACATACAACAATATAATGCCCTGGGGGACTCGAACCAGAGTCAAATTGATGAGGGGCGAGTGCTCTCACTGCTCTGCCACCCATGCTACCCATAACAGCATATGGAACCCACTCAACTTGAACATATAGATCATTCAAGTAGTGTCAGTAAAAAGCAAACCTAGGCTTGAACTACGTTTGAATTTCCCATAACAACATATCAAACAAACTTAAAGTTCTTGAATGTGGTTCAGTTGAGCATCATTAACCAGTAAACCTAGGTTTGAACATATTTGCTAAAGGCAGATACCCCTTCTCTTGGTTTACAGTCATTTCACCCAAGGACCATTTCGCCCATGCCAATTCGCCCATGCATAAAATCATCGCTACCATTGGAAATTACCAAAACAGAACTTCGATGAGACTTGTTAAAAAGAAACATAGTCTCTTGAAAGACATTTGTATATGATGTTGAAGTATATTTGGAGTGATCATTTTATGATATGATCAGTGAAAGCGGAGATCTAAATGCGACCAAGGACAGCATTCACTTAGCTGCCATATCGAGTCCGTTTCTACCAATTTATGACTCGGATGACTTTATTTCCCCATACTCTAATCTATGAACTGTGTGCTTTGGGTAGCTTTATCATTCTTTATTATTTTTTAACTTGCCAAAGTTTGAGAAAAATACAAAATACCTTATATGCGAAACATCGATCGACAAGCGATGCCATATTGCTTTCGTGTAATCAACAAGCTTTTCCTTAGTCGTTTACTGATGCTTTCTTTTCTTGAAATCCATCAGACTTTATTATTTGCACTAAAAAACTAAGACGAAATGATCTAGCGACTTTATTTTGGTTTTTCTCGCTCTAACCTTGGCAAGTCAGAAGCAATAAATATGTCCTAAACATTCGATTTTTCGATGAAGAAGAAGGATATTGTAATGTTTTCAACAAACTACTCTACGGAGACTAAAAACTTATTGGTAGTGAAAAGACTTGTATGAAACACCGTAAACTGAGCTCGATCATTCGACTCAATCGTTAAGTTTTTGGCGTTCACATCAGATATTAAATGGCCTCAAATTTATTCCAGATAAAGTCACTAGATCATTTCGTCTTAGGTTTTTAGTGCAAATAATAAAGTCTAATGGATTTCAAGAAAAGAAAGTGCCAGTAAACAACTAGGAAAAGCTTGTTGATTAAAGTGATTCTACACGTGGGCGAATTGGCAAACGCATGATCGATGATTTTATGCGTGGGCGAATTGGCGTGGGCGAAATGGTCCGTGGGCGACCCTTCCCTTCATGTATGTAATTATGATATAAGTATTATAAAATGAATAGTACCTGATCTTGCACCAGATGTCTCATTGATTAGAGTGTCCGGTATATCATTTATTACCTTCAGGCCCTATCCAAACAGAAATATTGATGTCAGAAAAACCTCAAAAATCACAGAGCGGTATGATGTTGACCAAGGGCCAATGTCATTGACTTCAGGATACTGGACCTTAGTTGAATACTGAGAAAATACCTGCTCAAACAGCCAATCATAGCACACAATTTTTAGGATACAGGACCGGAAAAAGTAATATTGTTATGCAAGTGAGCAACATTTTCATTATTCTGGCACAAATACTTGAAAAGATACAATGCTATGAAGGTAATCACTAGATGGAACAATACCAAAGCCTTGCCAACCACGTCATGTTTTTAGCAAATTTTATAATGTGACTACCATAACTAGGACCACTTAGACAGCAATAACCAATCAAATGATTGTAGAATAAAAACAATATATTCAAACTTTGGAAAGTAAGCAGCAAAAGACGATAGCCTTTCAACATATCTTCTTATAATTTATCCACAAGATTAATGATGATGGCTATGTAGTTGGTTACACATAACATCAGGATCAAATTTCCATTCTCTTGTAGATATTTGCCTTGTTACTTTGAAACTGTGTGCACATTTACTGATTCACTTGTGACGATCTTTCAGTTGGTAACAAAACAATTTCCCAATAGACCCTTTTCTCTTTTCGCATCCAAATTTAAGGAACTTGACAGGCCATAATACCAGAACAGGAATTTTATGATGAGAATTATCATACATTTCTTTGAAAGAATTCATAAAATTGATTATTTTCCTCTTTAAATATAAAACTGTCTTCTCAATTTTACTGAATTTGCATTTTTCAATTTTGTGGCCAGTCAAGTTGGATGCGCACACAAGTTCCTTGAAAAGACGGTCTATGTACTAAGCATTTGATTTAATATGCAAATTAGGATGTCACCTTTGTGCATAGGGTTGATTAGGTTAGGTCTGCTCCAATCAAAACTAAAGAGCCAGCATTGGTTCATGACTGTCACAGCCTTTTTTTTCTATAGCAGTATATTTTAAAACATCGATGAGTTTAGGAAGGTTGAATAAGGATATTTTTGCTAAAATTATTTGAAAACTATACCTCTTCTGCAGCAGCAACAAAATCCAGATCAGTAACGTCCTTGATACTTTGAAGCTGACTTTCAACATCTGGGACTTTGCTGAAATTAGCACCCTGCTTGAGTTGATTTTGATCAATGTTACCACAAGATGATTGTGATGATGATGATACATTTCTACACTCTTTAATCATTTGTGTAATATTGTTCCTTGCGTTTTCCAAGCCTGTAGCTAGCTTCTGTCCCTGCTCTTTAAGATCTTTTGTGTTGTTTACAATAATTTCAAGCTGTGTCTTCATTTTATTGGAATCTAATAAAAAAGGGACCATATAAATCTATGGTAAGGATAATAATTATAACTTATAGAAAATTCTATGTTACAACCAACACTCCCTGTTAAGGGCACTCTTGTGTGGCTTACTCCACAAACACTGTATTCACATAATGGGCAATATCTACTGCCTTGAGTGATGAGGGTGTGGGGGGGGGGGCACCTGGTGAAGGTATTGGGCATGCTTGTCGTATCTCTTAGGGGTGCATGTCTTTATGTTGGAGGGTGGTAAACTAATCACCACCACCAAGTACAGCAGTGGTGCAGCTTAATGAGCACGTGAAGGTGGCTCTGCAGCTACTATACAGTCTGTAGCGGCGGGCTGCTGAGCTCGAGGGTTTCCATATGTGGGGTTAGATTACTGCTAGTACAAACAATCGATAGATCTTTATACGAAGAGGATTTATTGCTTGTACTTGGCGTAAACTGGAACACAATTAGTTACAATCACGAGTTACTATCRAAAACTAAATAACATGATTTTACAATAATTAAATCCAATTCCGATGTGCTATTCTATTCAGCGTACAACAATGATGTACTTATGTAACAATCAAATGTACTTAAATCATGGTGCGATGTTTTCAGGCTTATAAGGTTACTATTCGAACAAAGATRTAAATATTCTAATGTTTCTCAGATTAATTAATAAAGGAATCAGGTATACTTACATAACAGTCCCGTACTACTGCCGAGAGGCATTCGATTAAGGTATGATTTGAGCTGTTAATTTGGTCGACGATATTCAGTAGGTTGTTTTGTATTTTGATTCGAGGGTTTTAAATAGTCACTAATGGATCATTAATTAGCACAGGGATCCCATACAATCATTTACACAGTCCATGAATGTCCCTGGAGCAAAGCTCTACACTGGAGAGACAACAATTACCGGAACCATCAATTACCATTCTGATTGGGTAATTGGTAATAGACTACAGTGTGATGATTCATATGATTGATGGCAGTCTATTGCCGACTATCTAAACTTGTTGTTACCTTTTTCTCAATCAGTGCCTAGTGCCTAGTGGGAAAATACATATGTACTACCGCGTGGATTGATCATTATCTTCAATTTCACTGTACCTTGTAACAACTTCTGTGGTGATCTAAGTCAAAGCATGTGTAGGCACTAAAAAATGTTGAAACGCTCACTGGGTTGTTGAAACTATTTCTGTATTTAACTTGAATCAGTCGAAGTACAACAAGAAGAATAAGTTCACAGTAAGGTAAGTTGGGTAAGTTGATCGATGAAATGAGTGAGTCGAATGAGGTTTCTGACGGTTAAAAGTCCTACATAAATTTATGATACGAAAAAATAAACAAAAAATACTATGGATGATTTTGCATGTGTAAAACAAAACTCGAAAGTAAAAAACTACCGCGCAGGCCTGGGTCTGATTTACCTTTTTTGGTAATTTATGTTAATTCGTTGTTACAGCATGACTATTTCACAGATCAAACCCAGAAACGACTTCTAGGCTAATCAAAGTTAGGGCACATCTAACTCACAGATTGAACCCTGAAACCGCCTCTGGGCTGATATAAGTCAGGGCACAGCTAACTCACAGGTTGAACCCAGAAAAAATTCAAGGCTAACTCAAAAATCAAATTGTAATTATTTGTCCTGGAAAATCTAAAACCCTGAAAAAAAAGGAAGAAATACCTACAAACACAACTCACATGACTGTGATGCCGAGTCCAGAAATTGAACGTATGTATGTCATTAGGAGTCAGAAGTAAGTACACAATCACTACACCATCCTTAATTTCCAACATAATGGGTTAATTCATTAAGACCTACTTACTCTCTGATAGATCTTTCACAGCTTTGATAGGCTTTGCTACAGTGTCATCTATCAAAGCCAGGAACTTGTCACCTAAAAGTTCTTTTATGCCTTGGTCTGAGGTATCATCAATCAGCTTCTTAGAAACAAACTTGAAGTCTTCATCAATGATTTTGTCAAATTCCTGAAAAAATAAAGTTGTTCATGTAAAAAGTCACATGTCATTTTATTACTCAGTGTTTCTTTTGGTACCAGAGGCACGTTACAGCCACAGACTGGACTTCACTGTTGTTTTAATGTTTGAAATAAAGATGTCCATCTTTCTACAAACAAAGTAAACTAATAGCTATACATGTAACAAGTAAACGAGTTCAAGCTGGATCATGTACTAAAAATTGTAAATTTTCCTTTTTGCCTATTTTGTTGGGATYCCTAGGGATTTTGAGAGAATTTTCACACCAAAACTTGTATACTTGCCTCTTCAGCTCTGGAAATTGATGTTGTGCACTCTTTACTTTACCATTGTATTTAAAAATATTTTTACACTGATACGAGGCCAAACCTGAGTAAAGAGTCTGTGACAGACCGTCTTTAGCTTCGTTGTTTGTTGTGCACATTTCAGACCATGTGATGCCACTCTTGKGAGTTGATTCTTTCATGTGTAAATATTTTAACATGTTCGCAATAAAAGAACAATTCTCAAGGGAGTGTCATGTGATCTGAAATGGGCAATTTGCATATGAAGCTGGAGGTCTATCAAGGAACTTGAAAAAAAGTCTACTGGCTTTATGCTAATTTTAAATGCTATAAATAACTCACAGAGATAGTAGTGTTAATGAACTGGGCGGTCTCGTCTACAATCCCATCTGATGTACTTTTAGTTTTGTCCAGGGTTTTACTCATGTTATCATTGCACACAAATGTCAGTAGAACACCAGCACTAAATTCAAAAGATAAAACATTTTTTTAGTAAGGAATTAGATTCTGATATATTGTTTTGCACCAACAATGTAAACTCTTGACGGTGACATAGAAGTTTACTTTTCCAGGGCTTAAGATGGTTTACGGTCATGACGCCCCCTTGTCATAACGCCCCCAGCCATAACGCCCCCACGTATACCATGACGCCCCCAGTCTGTACTACCATGACGCCCCCAGCATAAACCATGACGCCCCTAGTCTCT